GGAAAAAAAAGAGAGCCAAACCGGGCGAGGCCCCGGTTCTCACACGAGCGGTGATGCCCGGCAGAATTAGACTTTGTCCCTGGAGCTATTATGTAAGGTCAGCCTGACTCAGCATAACTATAGCGGGGAGCCCTGGAGCGGGGAGATCTCCAGTACTATGTACGTCTCTATGTCTAGGGCTGCAAGTATCAATGTATCAAGTACACGGTAGGAATGTTGAGATCAAGTAGTTACCGACTGACAAACACAGAGGCAATCCACTACATAAGTAGGACATCCATAGTTAGATGGAGTTATGGAACACAATGATCAATGACTGTCATGTAATTAAGAAAAAACATATCCAGAGGCCTGAATATATCTACCTAGGTATCCATAATCCCCGAACCAACGCCCAAGATAACGCCATTTCGCATGAACAAATGATTTCATCGCGAGCTCATTTGCAAAAAGCACCCGAGAGATATCATGCAGAAAACCGAGAAAGTCATTCATGCTTCCAAAATGATATGTGCTAACTGCACCTCACCAGCCTCCACTATCCTTGCCGCTATAATATCACCGACCTTGTCAACCAATCTGGAGCGGAGATCGTCTGTGACAGTATGACCATTGGTCAAAAATGGTTGGCTACCACGCAGAGAGGCCAACACAGCCACAAGTGCATTCAGAACTCGCTCCGCAGCTGGCCGACGGGCAGCATCGTCCAGGCCATCGCTAAGAAGTTTGGAATATTCGTGCAGATTGGGAATGACGAGGACGCGGATTACTTCAGAGCCGCCGACAGATTGCAGTCCAATGACGGCACCATAGTGAGCGCCGAATGGCTTTGCAGGGTCGAGGAAGGTCTTGAGACAGGAGCGCACGAGTCGGGGCTTGAGCATGTGCGATGAATGGGAGTACTTTTTGGAGATGAGACCGAGAAGAGAGGCCGCCATATCCCGCAGAGCGAAGGACTCCACGAGATCCGCAGCTCCACCAAGTTGTCGACCGATGAGGCAGGTAAGAATGGATGGTACGAGGGATGCGATCTGGTGCGGTTAGCGTCTATAGATATGTTCTTCCAAGGTGGGGGTCTACTCACGTAGGGGTCCACGTAAAGTGACTGGTTCTGGACGAGCGCCTCGGTCATGTGCATCACCTGAGTGAGAACGAAAACATTCTTGAGACTGTGCGTGACCTTCTCGGCAATGAATTGGACAAAGTATGGCACCAGCTGGTGCAGACCTGGGTCCTCGCGAAGGCTGGAATACCCGGAGGTACGATAATCATCGCTTGTTTCGTGCAAAAAGGCGCTGCAGACCTTTTCAAAGTAGAGCTGGAGTTCCCTCGAAAGCACATGCTTGACCAGTGGCTTGACAGCCACATCGCCTGTGCCACTGATTGCCGCCAGTGTGGAGTTCGCATTCGGACCCTTCGAGACCAGTTCGAGGTTGCGAGAATCGGCAGCAGTTGGGTTCTGAGGGATCGAGGGCTGCACACCTTCGACAGCCAACCAGTGGGCTAGAGTAGACATTAGTGAATGGACAGCACATGTAAGTAGGGAATGAGTATTAACCACTTACCAGTGAAGGAGACTTCGCGGGGAACTTTTGGCAGAGGTGCGTTGATCAACTTCTCAAAGTCAACCTCTTCATCTTCGACGTAGAACAGTGGCTGACCAGGTCCTAGAGAGGCTTCGCCGAACTTCAACGGACGGGTGGAGTCGTAGCCATACAATGGCTCCACGTCCAGGTTGCGCAAGGCCAGCGCGATGTCTTGAGTTGTAAGAACCGTGCGCTTACAGTGGCGCATACACTTCAGCGCTTCCTCGAGCACCTGCGCAACTCGATATTCGACATCCCGGGCGAGATTCTCGGTCACATCGTTATTGAGATTGAGGATACCGACGGATTCGGCGACGTCGCGGATGTTATCAGGGTTCCAGACAGACATGGTGGAAGGGCGTATTCTGGAATGAAGTTGTATGAGGGAAAGATCGGGATAAATTCAGGTTTGGATATTTATGACGCTATCGCGAAAAGTGAGCTGAAGCGCGAGGGACGAGGTGGCAGATGAGAATTCAGAAGGCGAGTCGCATTCTGAGGCCACCGCCAGCGGATCCACAGATTAGACAATAATAGCCCCTTTCTATTGAGTCTGTATTGTGTTTAAATGATGAAGGAAACGCGGCAAATCCCAATGGATAGAAGGAGTAAAGTGAACAAGCGCCGCCTGGAAGATGAAAGCTTGCCGATAAGAGTTGCGTGAGTGGTTCTACGGTCACCCGTACTCCTGTATACTAGCGAGGCTACGGAAGTGCACTAGTTATAGAGGGAACGGACGTCTCTCTGACATTTATTAGAAAATATCTGTCTCTATTGAGTTCTCGTCCTTCAACATAATCGTCCCCAAATCTCTCTGATATGGCTTCATTAGAGCCGCACAAGGTTTTCCTGATAACGGAAATCCTTGAACTGATCCTACTCGCAACTGACACGCGCACTTTGCTTGCATCCGCTCAAAGAGTCTGCCGTAAATGGTACTTCTTGATTCAGGATTCGAGCGACTTACAGGCTGCCCTGTTTTTTAAGCCCGTCGATTATACTCTACCACGCGGGACGCCGGGAATTCGCAACCCGTTGCTAAAAGAATGTATATGGCCATGGTTTTGCGCGAGACAAGCGCACGAATGGAAAGCGCCGCCAGTAGAAGGAGGGGCGAAGATACCTCAGTTCGATCCTCAGAGCGACGAAGTCTTTCTCCGAAAAGGCGCAAGTTGGAAACGAATGTTATTTCAGCAGCCTCCTCGATCGTGTATTGGACTTATAGAGAAAGATGGAAAGGGCGTGAATAGTCCGACATATACGGAAGTGGACGTTCAACCGAGGGGTAGCCAAGACTATTTACGAATACGTGACGTGGTGCTCCCTTGTACGAACATCTTGGGTGCAGTTCACCCTCTGCTAGATGAAGGACTACTCTGGTACGGATTTATTCGTGAAAGGCAACCACCGCTGTATTCCGGGGATGAACAATATCCAACAACTAACGAGATGTACGGAGAAATCTCGAGGAGCCAGGTAGCATATATTACCTCAATATGTCTGCGGGACTGTGACATTGTGTTTTTTTTAGCAATCATAGTGCTATGATGTTACATGTTTGGCTCTATCATATTCGGAGTTTTGTGCCTAGGCAGGTTTATATTCCGATACCGATGACCTAGATTTCTAAGGACATGTACGTGAAACGAAGTAGCGAAATAAAATGTTCATTGAAAACCAAAGCAATAGTTACATGGTCTCCTACCGGTCCGCTATAAGGATACCCTCACCGGCGGAGCTAATGAATGGACAGTTGTGGGAGGTATGCCTATGGGTATGTAGTGGGGATTGAGATGACGCCGAATGCATAATCAAATCACTGCCAGTCTGTCATAGGGATATCATCACCAGCCGAGCTACTGAATTGACGGTCGTGTGAGGTAGGCTCACAGGAATGAATGCTGTGGAGATTGAGATGACGCCAAGCAAGATGATCGTAAGGAGCAAGCGAACTATAGTCTTGTTCCCCATCAGGGTGTATCCCCAGGTCAGGGTCCTTGAGCACCACTTTCAGGATGTCAGAAGATAGTAGTAGCAATATATAAAGAAGTACTTGCTAACTCACCTTGCTACTTTGGTTGATACGGTAGAAGTTGAAGGTCACGCTATCTGTAGAGACCCCTATCTCGTAGTCCGCGGGTGCTCGTTTTTTGGAGTCAACTTCTTAACACCACTTCTTAACACCGAAAGGGTCTCGACCTCCTCTTGGGTCAGGTCGCTCACGGCTACTCTAGGTAGTTTGTGGTCGCGTGCAGCTGCCTTCTTAGCTTGCTGTAGCGTTTCTCTCATAAGCCTAAATCCTAACCCGGGCATCTTTCTCCAAGCTACTTAACTAGTGAGTCCGCAGTGCCTGTGAGAGTAGTCTATCCTATAAAGATTTACCCACCCCTAAACTAGTGGCTAAGAGATCTTGCCTATTGTATTGAACATGTATAGCTATGATCTTGAGTTCTTCAGATTCACTTCGGATTCACTTCAGATTCAATTCAGTGGGCATTAATTTTATTAACCTTATAATCTAGGTATTCAGAATTTATAAATAGTAGTAGTAGAAGGGAGCTTTTAAGACTATCCCCAACCCACCTTTCTGTTACAACCTGCCCCTGGACTGGCGAGTTACAAACTAGGCCAAAAGACCATTATATCTGAGCATTACGCTCAGATAGACCAGGCTCCGATATATATAGTGCATGACATGACACTTTCATTCTCACTCACTCATCTTCCATCCCATCCCTTCTCACAAAAACACCACCACCGCCACCGCCACCATCATAGCTCCCAAGAAGCTTTTCCGCAAGCGTGCTCTTAGGCTTGTCGAAGTGGCCCTGAAGTGGCTTTCAGCGACAAGCAACGTCTCGAAGGCGGAAATTGCCGATGAAGACTAGTCTCATTTAAAGAGTCAGGACCACGTCGATACAGTTGCCTCTACCCTCGATCAACCGGGAAGGCGTGACCCTTCGTTCGCTACACAGCTCCAACTGCGGGACAACTATCGCTGTGTAATCACGGGTCAACTGAACACCGATCAATGGGAGCACGAAGGGGAACCAGAAAACGTCTTCTATGGCCCGACTGAGGGCGCTCATATAATACCTTTTGCGTTTGCCTCTTGGCCAGGGGTGTCCGGAGCGCCGAGAGATACATCAAGTACCTGGACCTTACTAACTATACAAGTGTTTCCCTATGGTTTGCGAAGACAGACCATCGAACGATATATTCGGGACTGGGGAAGAGTTAAGAGGCTCTAGTTGGACTGTTGTTAGAGAGGACGGTACGACCGATCTGGCTAGTCTGCTGGATATCTAGCGAAGCAGCACGACATTGATACTCTAGGGTCCCAGATCTCGTCGTCCTTGACAATGGTGCTGCTACAAAAGTCGTTAGTGAAGTGAAGACGCCATGGGCTAAGGAATGGAGTACACTCTTTTGAGGCTGGCCAAGAGTACCGGCTTCGCCGCATTCTCGGTATGTATGATATTAACTATACTCGTGATTTAACATACTAATAATTACACTATTATAGGACAGGTTGCCCGATACATGAAAGACCTGAACGTGCGACATGCGTTCTTCTCGACTTATGAAGAAACCATGTTTCTTAGGAAAGTTGAGACAACAACCGGCTGGGCTTTGCAATTCTCTCTGGTAATCACTCACGATTTCCAGTACAGCATCCCAATAGAGACTATTACCACTCGGCAAGGGCTATTTTATTTGGCTCTTCTCGGCCAAACTACGCGGCCATTTACTACCAGGCCTTCGCGCCGTCAGTGGACCACCTAAGCAACTGACGCGAGAGTGGTGACATGGGTTGCGGTGATTAGGCTAGCTCACGCCCTTTAAACAACGCACCTCCCTTCCCCCTTGCTTTGGCCTTCCTCTGGTGGATTCGTGAATTTCCCATCCATTCAATTCCAGAACACATAATGAAGGCCAAGCAACACCTGGTTGTTAAGATCTACAAATGAGATGAGATCATGAAAAGACTGTCCAATATAACTGTAGTGCCTATAGTTGTAGAAAGCAATGTAAGGAAAAATTAGGGCATAGGCAGGTACACAAGAGCGGGGAGTGTTATTCACTGCTCCTCCGGGTATCATAACAGAAAGCACCAGCCAAATATCGATCTACTGGGCTCCATCCTTCGCAGGCTCTTCCTTCAGAGACTCAGCCTTGGGAACATCTGCTTTGGTGGGCTCCTTAGCAGTCTCCTCTTGGGCTGTCTCCACCTTGGGAGTTTCTTCCTTCGATGGCGCCTCCTCCTGGGGTTTCTTCGCAGCCTCCGTCTTCGAGGGTTCTTCCTTCGCAACCGCGGCCTCCTTGGTGGGCTCAGCAACAGTAGGCTGCTCGGGAGACTTGCCCTTGTCCTTGGTCTCCTGTTCCTTGCCCTCAACCAGTGGGATGGACCTAGCATTCTCCTTCAGCTCCGGACCCTTTCCACCATAGACTTTCGGAATTTTTTCGGCAATCGAAGCAGAGAACTCGCGAGCCAGGTTGGCGCCGTTCGTGATCGGGTGGAACTTGCGTGTGGTGTTCCGGCTCAGGATAAACTTCATGGCGGTGAACATCCAGCCCATGATCGCGGGAACGTTGACGAAGAACTTCTCACTCAGGAGCTCTGGGTATGCCGTAGCGAACACTTCGATGACCTTCTTTGTTGCGGCACGGACAGATGGGTCCATACGGAAGAACTTGACATTCAGGTAATCGTGCACTTGGATCATTTGGTAGGGATCCTCGCCATCGTACTCAATGACCTCGGTAGCATCTTTCATCTTCAGGTCCTGCACAGCGAGCTCCATGAGAGCGGCGCGCCACTGGACGAATCTGCGGCCAGTTAGCATTGATTTCGACTGTAAATAACATTCCATGCTAGGTACTCACTCATCAGTATCCGCGAATGTCGCACTGATATCCTTCACGGCTCCGTAGATGTTCCAAGTAAACACCAAGGGCCGTCCATTCTCCTCATAGGTGGTCAGGTATCCCAAGCCTCCAAATTTGGCGGCGCTGTATTTCGCGGACTCTGCCAATGCTAGCGGATTCACGTCCTTGCGCCACTGGAGTGCCTTGCTGAGCTGGGTCTCGGCGGCTTTGGCATTGCCTTCGTTTGCACGCAGGAACTTGATCAACACGTTGACGGTGGGAATATCGTCGCTGTCCTTGAGAGGCACTCCCCACATCTCAGTGTGACCAATGTTTCCGAGGATGGTTGGCAGACGGTTAAACAACTCGCCCAACGCCGGGTTCTTGCTCAGGTAAGCTGGCTTCTCAACCTTGGGTTCTTCGGGCTTGGTTTCTTCGGGCTTGGCCACTTCGGACTCTGTAATGGCAGTGGTGGAGACAGTAGCCTCATTTGAAGCCACGTCCTCATTGGCTGGGTCACTGGCAGGTTCAGCTTTGGCTGCAGTCTCAGTGTTTTCGGCTGCAGTCACGGGAGTTTCCACGGGCTTATCGACTACTTCGACGGTTTCTTCACGCTTCTCAGGAACAACGGGCGCAACGGGCGCCACGGGCGCATTCTGACCAGCAGTATCCGGCATGATTGATAGGATTAAAAGTGAGGATGTGTTGAGGTTAGAGGAAATAGGGGGGTTTTAAATTCACAGGGGTGCAGTTGCCTTGTCAATAATCGGACCACTTATCATTCCCCCCACCTGTCAGCCCTGGAGCTATATTTCCCTCGTTTCATGGTATATCACATCCACCTGGAATCTATTTTTATTTTATTTTTTATTTCTAGGGGGTTATCCTGTGTTTTTTGTTCAATGATATTTTTAAGCTAGAACGTGTGAATATCAATGGTGTACTCGTTACATATGTGAGCTAGTTATTAACTGGAATTTCCAGATAGAATCATTATGCACACCTCACATAGCTTTGAATAACTTCAATATATTCAATAATGGCCATAACCATTCATATATTTTTGAACCAAGTACTCCGTACGGAGGAGATATATCACCTATGCGAAGTATTAGTACTTACCCTTATTTATACATACTAACTAGTTACATGGTGGAAGACTAAATGACTAGGAGCAACCACCGGAGGTCACTTGACCTCGCAACAAATAGATACATGTAGCATCGAATTCTATTTGAATTGAAGTTATATTTGAGTTGCGTTAGTGTTATATTATGTGGTAATACTATAGCCTTAGAGAGTTTATCTCAAAATAACTCCCATTCTTCTGGCGTTAAGTTTGTTGGAAGTGTACTTCAGCTAGCCCTCACGGTTGCTAACTATATTGTTTGACATGTTTGCTTTCACCGTTGGTCATGTGATAAATTCACCCCTTGGACGTTTTTCAGGTGGCTGTTGAAAACCCTCCTTATAGCACTCCAAAATGTTGGCGCACTTCTGAAAATGTTGCTCGGCTTTTCATGAATTATTAAAGTATTGTGTATATGGCTCTTTTGGCTTTTTGGGTCGCATATTACCCTCGCCTATCTTCGTTCGTGGAGAGAGTGACGATATTGAGAGGTGCGGACGCTCCCTAACGGAAAATGATTATCCCACCGTCGCGAAGAACCACATTTTGGGATCAATTGAAGAATATCAAGCTGTCTTGCCTAGCAAAGTAGCAGACCTAGTTCTCTATGAACCTCAGCTCAAGCCAAGGGTCGACTTCATTGATAGTAAGACTAAAACCGGGTGTCGTTGTCAAATGCCCCAGGTATTCGTGGTGGAATTCTGGAGCGGCGGACGCCTCCTCATTTTTCAAGGACATCAGGCGCAGTTTCGAAGTTGAAGAGCGACTTTTCGATATATTAGGAACGCACCCTAGGATAATACGGTATGCCAGCCGAACACCAGGCGGTCCAATCATTAATATCATTTCTACTGTAGCTATATCGGTATCTCTAAGGAACCTCGTGGATTGCTCTTCAGCGAAGCTAGCGATGGTAATAATATTGACTCTAGAGAGAAAAAGGAAGAGAGAGGATGCTAGCTAATAATTCTGGAAATCTCTATAGACCCGTACTAACGAAATTTATTCCTTTGGAATAAAATTGTATTTACTATGATACTGGTAAATCTACAACGCAGCAAAACTGTATGCAGTCAGCTTCAGCCAAGCCACCTGTTCGGAAACGGACGCAGGCAGATGTGACCGAAACCTTCGACCTGCATATGCGGAAGCACATTGGCGAAAGAGGTGAAGGAATTGACAAGGTGCAGATACCAGTAGTGTATGGAGTACTCCGTAGATCCAAAGATCCAATTATTGCGAGTTATATCTGTTAGCACGTTTCCGATAGTTGTCTGATCCTAGAAATGGGTATTTTATGCACATTGAGTGTGTTTGCCAAACAAGGTGAATCAATATTATTGCCGTATGCTTTGTACTCCCTTGGATATTGTCCCTTAGTCCCTATCACACTCTTTCTTTTGAGGAGTGGCTGAGCTGAGGTTAAAGGCCGCGTTGACGCTAGCCAGCAAAGAAATGACCACTACATATATATATATCATTAGCGTGGAAAGCCAGCCCGTGATATAAATAACTTACCAAGTACACACTGCAGCTCAAAATACCCAAATCGTTCAACCATAAACCCAGCCAAGATGGGTCCAACTAGTAGACCAGACATCCAGCTCATATTTGTAATGGCAACGGCACGAGAATACCCTCCATAGGGACCGAATATACCAGGATGCAAGACCTCCAATTCATCAACGGTTGCTGCAAAAAGAAAAGAAAAACGCACACACATCAGTATGCCAGCTCACAGCAATAACATCCCAAACTTACCAGTTGCTTCCATTGTCCCAACCCCCATAAGCAAGCACGTACAACACCCAATCATAGTCGTAGAGACCGCATAGATGATCTTCCCTCTAGTTCCCAAAGTAGCCCACGGAAAGCGCTCATCGCCAGCGACACCAAGAACCCAAAGAAAAGGCGCAACAGAGATAAACCCAATGGTAGTGGGAAGCCTCGAACCCACCCGATCTTTCAACAGCCCAACAAGAGGAGCCAAGATCATCCCGGGACCCTGTATAGACGCGAACAAAAGCCCGACGGGGAAAACGCCCCAGCCAAAAGCGGACCTGACATGCATTGCAATCGTAGACTCGAAACTAGCAATAAACAGCGCAAAGACAAAATAGCACACAATCCCCGCGGCAAAGCAAGGTTGGCGGAAGAGACAGATGTAGAAGCGCCAACCGGCGATTTCCTCGGTCGACGACGAGGGATCTTCATTGAGAAGCGGTTCTGTTTCATACGGGATTATATGTTCATGTTGATGTTGATGTTCCTCGGCGGATAGAGATAGAGATTCATTGCGAGTGCGAGTGCGACAAGCGGTATCGCGACGTTTCTGCGGTTTTTCGATCATGAGTAGACGCATGATGATATCCACTATGAGAAATAGAGCCGCGCCAGCCCATGCTGTCCAATAACCTCCAATTCCAAAGAGAAATCCAGCAATGACAGGACCGGAGCATGTTCCAGCTGATGTGAGAGTCGAGCTTAATCCTGCTATCTTGCCCATGTGTTCTGAGCCGATGTTCTCGGCCATTGTGGCCATGCTGACGATGTATAATGCGTTGCTGACGATGCATTGGAAGAAGCGACCGATGAAGAGCCAGGTTACTATCGATGAGTTAGTATAGAAGGCTGTAATGCGATTTGCACATACAAAACAAATACTCACGGGATGTAGTGATTGATAGACATAATACGCTGATCAGGGTTAGTACTAGCAACACTAGTAGTAGAATCTTCTTGGAGCTGGCTCGGTCGGCTATGTCGCCGATAAACGGGCTCGAGATGATAGATATCAATGCCCCTTCAACTAGAAATATGGAAGTCAATCGCTGGGTAAGGGAGTTGTCTAGCTCTAGGCGGTTTTCGAAGATGTAAGGGAGCAGAGGGACCATGAAGGCGAAGAGCATTTCATCTAGAGAAGTGATTTGAGTCATTATATAAAATCCAATCTCTTCCATGTAATAGTTCAATACACGAACCTGTGAACAATGCCATAGACATGCTGCTGAGAATAAATGTATCTGACGAGCGCCAGCGATATCCCCATGTTGGCCATGAGACCTGTTTCTTAGTATCCAGTAAAGGAAACATTTCGAAGGCCTCGTTTATCAATTGGCGATTCTGAGTCAACCAACAAAGCAAAGTAAAAATAAGGAAAGAAAATTTGGAAATGAAGGAAAAATGCAGATGAGATATATTTATCAAAAGTAGCTAGTTTGAGGGGGAGATCGCCTATATTTGGCCCAAGTCAAGCAAATAATGAGACACCAGCCCTTCGTACTTCGTACTCCATAAACTGGCTGCAGATGCAATGTCATGGTTGCTTTTTCTCCCTTCCGACCAATGTGAACGCGGTGTTTGATGTGCATTGATGCCCAGTGGTTCTAGCAAATATACCAACTGAATCCCAATTGTGATCTGGGCTATTCTTAAATTCCAAATTTTGGTTTATAAAGACCATAGGGGGTATCTAATAATACGGGAAACATACTTACTTTTGCCTTTATATCCGTGTAGGACAAGCCTAGGGATGACCTTCACATGTTCAGAGCTTATTTAGACAAAAGGAGTTACAATACCTTATATGTATATATACACCTAGGTATGAGGTTCGGTAACGTAAATCATGTATTCATTTCCCGTGAACTGAAGATGAAGAGCGAGGGGGGTTAAGACCCCAGTCTAGAGCGAAGAGATCACCTGCCAAGTGGAAACCCAGACTAGGAAATGAGCAAGAATAAAAATCCCGGTATAGGGGGATGGCACTAGGGGAATATACAAAGCAGTAGAGAACATTGAATAAAAAAAACAGGAGAGAGACTGGTGCGACGGCAACCTGAAATCAAATAGGACCGCTGCAGGGGAAAGAACTCAACTCAAAGATACGAAAGCACAGGAAAAGCCCAGAAGGGATCAGGAAGCCAGAATATCTCTATAGTCCATTGCTGCGGAAGCGTTCAGGCAGTTGAGGCATAGACGGTGGGGGACCAGACTCCGACTCGTCGGTATCTTCCATCTCCTCATCCAAATCCTCGGGATGGCTAGATATATGAAGTTAGCTTATGAAGTCCACGTATCGATATCAATAATAGATCAGGATCAACATACGCAAGTAGCTCCTTGATGTTCCTCATCTCGTAGTGTCTCCTACGCTGCTGCTCGAAATGAGCATGCTTCGCGCGTGCCTCTTCAGTTGTCAAGAGCGGATCATGCACCGGTGCCTCGGCGCCATTTACATCCTCCATACCGACATGAACATGCTTCTCGCTCTTGTGCGAGTCCGTGCTCATGCTACGGTCACGGATGACACGAGGGTCGTCCATGGGGATGTCCTGCATGTTCTCCTCGGGTTCGCCGAGCTCCAGGTCGGGGATTTCATCCTCTGACACACCCCTCCGGTGCTGGGTGGGTTTGGTCGACTTATCCAGCTCATCGACGACAATGCCCTGCGCATCGATTAAGGTTTCCTGTGCCTCGTCGAGCCGCATCTGCTCATCATCTTCGCTGGGGTCGTAGTGGGGCGCGTACGGAGTCTTGGGTTCGTCGATCTTCATCTTCGCCGTCTTCTCCTGCTCGGCCAGGTACAGGTTTGCTTCGTCCCACTTTAGACGGGGCTCGTTTTCGTCATGGGCGCTGACTGACGACTGTCGGCGCGAGTTGGAGCCGTGGGTGGTGGATGAGGATCGTCGACGGCCTGCATTCTGCAGGGTGTTTTGGAGGGTGAGTTCCTTGGTCTCCTCCGGCTCGGAGATGATTGGAACGGAGGGTGGGGATATGGGTGCCATCGGAGCGGCAGCACCTTGGAAAGAGTTGGAGTTCTTTAGGATACCTATATAGTTGGGGCAAGAATATATTTGGTCAGATCCCATCGTTGCTTTTGATCACCGTTTGGTGCTGACGTAGTTTGGACTCACCTTTTGGTCGATGGTGCACATCATCGGAGCTGTGCGCCTTGGCCGGCATGTGTGGTGCGGTAGTCATGGTGGGATGATAGTTGGGAAAGACCGAGTGTCGCCCGATTTGCAAGTGGACGATGGACGATGGTAATAAGAAGTTCTGATTTTCAAGGGTGGGGAATCTAGAGGTGGTGTGTGGGCAGTTTTTTTTTTAATTTTTTTGATTATTTTCACTTAGGTTGCTCAGCTGCGCTCCAAAATAAAAAAGAGGCTGAGCGGCTGATGTGGTGTGGTTGATGTGATATGGGAGGTTAAAATGGATAAATGCAAACGTGATTCTCCTTTAAAATATACCCAAGTACCCAAGTACCTAAGTAGTCCCTAAGTAGTCACGAGGTGAAGTCCACTGATGAGTGGGGGGGGATGCAAATCCAATGACGTCGGTCCAATCTACCCGAACTTCAGCTTATAGCTAGTTATGTCTTAACTATATGAATATATATCCAATATCCAAGGAAATATAATATTAAACTAGGATCAAGACAAAACGTCCAATCTTTCAATATATTCAAACGCCAGTCATCTTCCAGAGGCCAAGCCAAGACAGAAAACCTGAGGCAAGAGTCCCAAAGTCCACGGAATACCTTATAAAACACCCAACTAGATCGCCCAAACGGGGGGTATATGGATATATATGCAAGGACGTAATAATCACGATGTAGAAGACAAGAAAAAAAAAAGAAGAAAAAAGTGAAAGTGAAAGTGAAAGTGAGAAAGAAGAAGGAAACCAAAAAAAAAAAAAAAAAAAAAAAAGTCGAGCCAGCGAGGAAAAGAATAATAAAAGAGAAACGACACAACAAGACCAGGAAAAGACCAGAAAAGTCTCTCTCAAGCGATGGAATCAAACTCCTCACGCTCACGAAGTCGATTCCGAGCAAGAGTATCGCCACCACTGGCCGACAACTGCATCCAGTGCAGCGCTAGACACATACTCTGCGGGTCCGATTTAGAGTCCTTGTCTCGTCGATACATCATCTCCGCCTTGAAGGTATCCCGCGGGAGGGTCAGAGGGAGGGTCACGCGCGGGAGAAGCTCCGGATGAGTCAGATAAAGGATTGCAAGTTCGCGCTGTGCCACTGGGTTACCCTCTTTAGCAGTGATGATCCACATCCCCGCTGCATCTTGGATGGCATGACCGGGCCGGGATTGGAAGTCCGACGCAAAGGGGGGATGACGATGGGAGAGCTCCTGGAAGACGATTCGGTCGGCGATCTCGACCATGCTGTGGCAGATCTCTTCCTTGAGGCTTAGTGCGGCTAGACCGAATTGGAGGAATGCTGTCCCGCGGTCGGTCTTGTTCAGCTGATCCCCTGGGACGAACGCCGAGATAAACTGCAAGTCCCTGAAAAGGGTCTTCGGCTTCACTTCGAGGATCAGATCGCGCAAGGCTGCTACAATTTGTGCTTCCGATGGAGTGGAATAGTCAGATCGTTGGGAGCCATATGTGACTGACTCGGGAGGAGAAGAAGACGGTAGTACTGAGTCCATCTGTGGTAGGTCGTTGCGCCCAACCTCAGAGAAACTGTGGCGACTGGCCCGATGGAGTTGAGGACTGCTCCGCATCCTGTCACCTTCTCCCGGGGAAGAGCTGAGAGAAGTAGGGGAATTGGCATCTTGTGGCGAAATGAGCGACGCAACCACCAACGAACGCAAGTCCCGCAACGCGTTGAGCTTTACAAAGGGATTTCCATGACGCGAGAACACTTCGATCAGCCGGTGGAAGACTGCCTTGTATGAAAAGGACGACTGCCCGTCCGATTCCAAAAATGCTTGCGGTAGCTGCGACGAGGCCTCGACACGAGGAGCTTTGTGTTGAGCCTCACGTAGGTTGTCCAGAGACCTGCTCCGGCGACCTTTCAATGAACCACGCTGCTGACCAAGATGCTTGGAGCGCTCTTCATAATCGACGTAGAACTTCTGAACAGCAGCTCGTCGGCGCATTTCCAACTTAATGCGTTTCTGGTCCAGCGCGTTGGTAAACCAGGCGTCGGTTTCACTACCACAACTCCATACTGGAGAGCCCAAATCGCTCAAAAGCAGACTAGTCAGTGTCTGCCTCAAGCCATCCATGAACACCGCTTTCCCGTGTGTCTTGTGTTCAACACGACGGGGCTGGCGGGCTGCAGTCTCACTGAACATGGATGGTGGTCGCGAGTACACGCTTGACGCACTTGCGGCATACATAGGGTGCCGCTGGGGCGCAGACCAGAATGTACTGTAGGTATCACCGGTAGATGTCGAAGCGGCACGGCCAGGTGAACCTCCGATAGAGGACATGTCAATTGAAGGCAAGTCACGCTGAGGCCTCCATTTATCGGAGATTATGCTTTGGATAGAGGGCTTGCGACCCAATGATGGAGTATCTTGAGAAAGACGAGACATAGGATCAGGCATAGGCATATTGGCACCATAGAAGTGGGAAGCAGAATTTGTGTCCTCGCTTGTGGTCGTCGAGGGTCGAGGAGTACTAGGCATGGACATCCCAGGGAATGTGCGAGAGCCATAGCCCTCAAACTTTGAACGCTCTGTCTGGAAAAGCTCACTTGCCCATAACACTGGCGTCTCGCTCATCGTTTCCCCCACCAGTTTATTAATGCTCATTCGAACCTCGTAACAGAATCGATGAATTCTTTCTTCTCCCTTGCAGAAATTGTCGATTCCGTTGTGCGACAACCATTTCCGAGTCAGCTCGACTTGCTCGTCAGACAACTTATTCGGTCCCCCTTGGCTACTGGGTGCCTTCATCATGTTCATAACTTGCACTTCGGGTTTCTGGAACAAGGAGCCACCCAAAGACCTTGCCCCGTAACGAGAACGCTGTTCTTCGGGGAACTGGTTGAAGAGCCGGGCTGAGTAGATCATCGTTTTCAAAGCTATAGCCACGTGTTTGGCCTCCTCGTATCTGATAGAGTTCTTGACGTCGTTCATGTACCACATTTTGTCTCGGATTTTGCAAAATGTGGCCGTCATATCTTTGACTTGAGTTTGGAGTCGGCGGAGACTGTGATCGAGAGACACGAAGTCAGTCTCGCACCGCTCAATGAC